AAGGAATAGATGTATCTAGACATATCTTAGTTTTAGATACATCCATTTTTATTCATTTCTCCGACAAGTATTTTGGGACGGAGGGAGTAGCTAGTAGCAGTTTCAGACCATACTATATGTTAGGTGCAAACTCTAATTGGCCTGAATTTTTGGCATGATCACCCCAGGCCGCCGTCGTAGTGGCAGAGCCCGACCGCGGCGGTGTCAGCAGAAGGATAGAGAGGGAGATGGAGCTGGAGGACTACCCGGGGTCCGGGGCCAACGACCGCCACTCGCCGTGGTGGCGGCAAGAGAGGAGGAACTGAGAACATGGAGCAAAGCTGCATGTGTGTTCCTAGTGTTGCACGGTTGTGTTTGTATGTTTCTCAAACTGTAATATCTCTACTCCTGGTGTAACATACTCCCTTCATTCCATAATGTAGTGCCTAATTTTTTTTTTAAAGTCAAACCTTACAAACTTTGACCAAGTTTATTGAGAAAAACATTCACATTTTAAATGACAAACATATATTGTTAGATTCATCGTAAGATATATTTTCATATTTTATATATTTGACATTGTATATATAGTTTTCTCTATAAACTTGGTCAAAGTTTGTAAAGTTTGACTTTATAAAAAATCTATAGGCACTACATTATGGAGCGGAGGGAGTACAATAACGAAGCTTGTTACTTGCAAAACTGTGTTAATTATTATGTCATTTTGGTTGAAAAAGAAGAGGATATGGTCACATCTAAAACTGATGAACATATACAATGTCAAATATATAAAATATGAAAATATATCTTACGATGAATCTAACAATATATGTGTATTGTCATTTAAAATGTGAATGTTTTTCTCAATAAACTTGGTCAAAGTTTGTAAAGTTTGACTTTATAAAAAATCTATAGGCACTACATTATGGAGCGGAGGGAGTACAATAACGAAGCTTGTTACTTGCAAAACTGTGTTAATTATTATGTCATTTTGGTTGAAAAAGAAGAGGATATGGTCACATCTAAAACTGATGAACAGAGAGGAACCACCAGGGTTGGGGCAAAAACGAAGGAAGAAGAAAACAGATGCGACTCCGCTGGGGATGGAACCCAGAATCTCTGGTTTCGTAGACCAGCGCCTTATCCATTGGGCCACGGAGTCTTGCGTGCTGATTTAAATCTATTGTTTATGCAGAACAGTAATAAGACAAGAGTGCACAACACTACATTACATGTCTAAGTGTGACACGTGTTCAAGGCTTTACTTGGTTTCATTTACATCGAACTTGATGCCCAAGATGGAGCTGCGAGGAGAAGTTGGAGCTGAGGTTACATGGCTGCGACACTTGCTTACCACGGCCGACCGATGTAGTAGGAATTCGGTGGGTATCTTTGTAAAAAGCCAATTACCATATGACCTTGTTTGTAACGAGCTCTTATGCTTGATTCATTTCAGGTGGGTAATATGCTGCTGATGCTTGACACGTCTACACCAGGTTACCACCTATCGCCCGTCTAATTCCCCCAACTATTCTCAACTACTCCCTCCGTTCCTAAATATAAGGCCTCCTTTGGTTTGGAGGAATTTCATGGGAATTCTAGAAGATAGGATTCTTATAGGATTTTTTTCTTTAGAGCCCTTTGGTTCATAGGAATGGATTCCTATTCCTATATAGGATTGGTTCCTATCCTCCACATTTCATAGGAAAATAAAAATGAGCCTAGACTCAATGGAAAAATTCCTTTGGTGTCAACCAAATGACATCTTGTTTCCTATTCCTACTCATAGGATTTGAGATACATGTCATCTCATTTCCTACAAGATTCCTATTCCTACGATAATCCTATCCTATGAACCAAAAGAGGCCTAAGTCTTTGTAGAGATTCCACTATGAACCACATACGGATATATATAGATGCATTTTAAGTGTAGATTCATTTATTTTGCTTCATATGTAGTCCGCCTAGTAGAATCCCTACAAAGACTTATATTTAGGAACGGAGGGAGTATTTCAATGAAGCTGGGCGGTTAGTTGAACCCAGTTGGTAATATTATCTCTCCTCGAACATTATTTTATCCTGCATGATTGCAAATGGATTGGTTTTTGCGTGCCTAAAATATGTCACATTTTCTTCTGGTATATGCATGTTATCATTCTCATGGTTTTGGTGAATGGCAGTGAAGACATTAGCGCTCGATTGATCAGCTATGTCCCAAGCTATGATCGGAGAGACATTATTGCTAATATGAAAAAAACTGCTAAATCGCGAGAATGGCGCACCGATGAAAACCTTGGTACAAGGTGTGTAAGGTCCATGAGATGATTTTACTAGCATATTTTTTCGTGAATACGCAAAGCTTGCGTATCATTTTATTGATAGAAAGAGTAGAATGAGTACAGAGTGATACAACACATGACACGAACGCTGGCAGGCATGAACATGGTGCCTCAGGCCGAACAGAAGATACAACACAGCTAAACCTACCACACCTGAGGCAAGAGCGGTGATGCCAAACCAACGAGAATCCCATGGGACCCTGCGAGCTAAAAACCAATGAGAATCACACGAGCCAAAACCCGGGGACACTGCGAGCGATCAAGATAGTGCCTTCAAGAAGGAAGACGATGCCAAGATGCCGTCACTATCTGGTCCGGGGGACCCGGACCTAGGGTTTCCCCTGAAATCTAAGAGGGACGTAGCTGAAGGCCTTTGCAACACCTCCAAGAAGGAAACAACACCCGTGAGTGCCATCGCTGCCAGCACCTGCAAAAACCGAGCAAGGATCTCTCGCTGGCCTGAAGCTGCACGATTCCATAGCCGCCGAATCTGGAATCATGGATGGGAAGGCCAACACTGATTGGAACCACCATCAGGAGGGGGTTGGCGGGGCTGCACCTGTCGTCGGAAGGTGGCACTGCCTCCAAACCCATGAGCATTGGATCCAGCAAAAGGAGGAGGCTTTAAGGCGTACAGGGTAGGGCGGGCAATGGGGCGAATCATGTGGGGGTCCTGGGGCGACGGCGTCTAGCAACGCTGGCAAGCCAGGACTGAAGGGACGCAGATCTGGGCTACCGTGGCTTAAGCCATCGGGACGTCGGCGAGCCAGGTGAACTGGAAGTGACGCAGATACCCGGGCGCCTATGCTGGAGCTGCCCGATAGAAAACACCGGCAACGAAGGACACCGGAGAGACATGGGTCAAGGCCGCCAGGGCCGGAACAATGCCAGCTTGGACCCACCATGAGAATCCCCGTGACAAGCACAACCACATAAGCATCGCCGCCTCTTTGCGAGAGCGTCACCATGGCTCAGGAGGAGGGAGGGCCTCCGGAGACGAGGGGGGTTGCCTACACGGGAGGCATGCCGCGAACGCCCCCGCAACCGGCTGCAGGCCCCATGCCCTAGGCTCCAAGCCGTGATTTTACTAGCATAGATGTGTCATACTGACGGTTTGGTTCCTTAATTCAATAATTGCTTTTTCGAAGGCAAATTTTCTATTCATAACCTGACAGGGCTCTTCGAACGAGACAAGTTCAAATGCAGATGGTGCCACATATATGATTAGTGGTGTCATAGAGGAGGTTAGTGACACGAAGCTTAAGATTAGAGTTGTTTTATGGTACCCTCAAATGAATATAAGCCCTCCATCTGCTCTGATCTGATGGATATGGTTGTTTGGCAGTCCAGCATAGATGCCTTGGAGTACTACCATTAAAAACTGGGGAGTACCACCACTTCGAGGGTAATTTGATAATCTAGGATTAGGTCGTTAATTCTCCACTAATTCATACCCTCACTTCGGCATTTCGCAAGATCGTTAATGAGGGATTAGATCATAAGCCTGCGACCCAGGCCAACAAGAGACGATCAAGCTGGCCCAGGGGGCAGTAAGGAAAGCAGCAGGGGAAGAAAAAAGACCTGAAGCCATCCACGATTGACACAAATTCAGAAGCTTTTGCTAGGGTTTGAGTGTCTGGGATGCAGTCATTCTATAACCTTTATGATGTATGTAATGGATTGTGCGGTCGTTCTAGACCTGGGTTGTGTATGCTCAGACCTTGAGTTTAATATTCATTCTGTGGTTGGTCTCTGGATTTATGGCTGTTGCAAGGGCATTGGCTGACTAGCATGGTGTCAGACTGTCAGTTAGTACAATGTCACATGTTAACCTGACTGTTATTATGGGAACAGACAATGGACCATCTTAAATTGGTTAGGTGTTTGGACTCGAGAAATGAACAACTTTTTCCGTCCTCTGCCTGGAGGAAACTAAAAGAGAGACCTTTGACATGAACAATTTCTGGAAATTCTGTCCCAGAAGGTTCAGTAAGTCTCGAGTATTTGCCATCAGTAGGGGCTTCAGGCTTCAGGTGGCATCGTCATTCATTGGAATGCAAGCAGGCCTAGTTCTCCAGAATGAGTATTCCCTTTCAGTTCAGTACAGTAGCAACTTTTTGTCTTATGACACTTCGGTTTTGGCAGAATGTATATGCATCTTGTCCACAGTTACTTCCCCCACAGCAGTTTTTTGCTTAAGCCACAGCCAAACCACTGTAAATTTCTCACAGCAAGTACGAACAATTACTGCCAACGGACGGTAAACACAAACCCGGCAATACGCCGACTGCTACGAGCAGGTGAACAGATGAGCACACACTGAACAAGAAGGTGAGAACCAACAAATTTCTCATATTTTCATATCGACCGCAAACATGCAAATGCAAGTCCACAACAGGTTACAAGCAAGCATACGCGTCCATTAAAAATGGGACAAATGCCGACAATCATCATCACTCAGACTAACCTAGCATTCTTATTTCATCACGATCATCATCCAGCTGAAAAAAGTAGGCTGGAGGATACGTACCAATCTGCCGGCTAATAAAAGATGCCAGAGCAAATACCGCAGGGAAGCTCAAAAGCGAGCTTCCCATGACAACAAGATCGCCACACCGTATGTCACACGGAAAAGTCGCAGGAGCAGATAGAGTGCATCACATGCGGCTTCTCCACCGTCGACTAGCCAGACCACGCCGCATTGCCAACAGAGCTCAGCCCGTCATGGAAGGCGTTGTACTCTACGGGCTGGCCTGCAGCCACCATTCGGCGCGGCATGTTCTCGGCATGATCGTTCAAGTAACCCATTCGAGCAGCCTTGTCAGCCATGTCTGCCGGGTGATTCTGCACTGGCTGGGGTCCTAGATGATGGAGCATCATCGGAGCACTGGCCTGCTGTGCTTGCTGAGGAAGGACAGCAACAAAAGTGGCAGCACTGTTGGGAGGGCTCCCATATACAGTGTTGTAGGCCTGGGCACCACCCTGGACAGAATAGGGGCCAACCTTGCATTGCTGAGGTGCAAATGAGCCATTGCCGGGCGATTGGAACTGCTGGGTCTGCTGGTGCTGGATGTGATGCTCTGCCATAGGAACAGCAATGGCGCTGCTTTGCACGTAAACTGGAGCAGCTTCATGGTGCTTTCGCTGGGAAGAAGAGATTGTAGAATAGGCAGGCTGCACAACCATGCCTCTAGAAAGTGCCTCGGTGTTACCACATGCGGGCTGTTGGGATCCGTAAGGAGGATAGAACAGGGCGACATGAGGGGCACTTTGGGCCTGCGGGGAAGATGTTTGCAGTTGAACTACCTGAGCAGGAACTTGCTGCATGTTGTGGTACTGCTGCTGTTGTGCCACCTGTGGTTGTGGTTGTGGTTGTTGTTGTGGTTGCCTTGCCTGCGAGTGAACATCCTGGACAGTTTGATGTTGCCAATGGTGCTGAGCTTGGAGGTAGAACTCTGGTGCCTCAACTACAGTCTGTGGCTGAGGGTTCTGGGCCTGCGGCTGCATAGAATGAGGTGCAGGTTGAAATGTTTGGGCCTGCCTGCGCTCAGGCTGGCCTTGATTTTGCATACAGTAAACAGTAGGTTGGTTCGAACGTGGCTGGTCTTGTTGGTTGCTAAAAGACACAGGCACAAGCTGCTGTAGAATAAGCCCATTGCAGCTTTGGAATTGCATAGCAGGAGACTGCGCAGCATTTACTTGGTGCAGCGGGACAAGGGCAAGCTCGTGTTTTGCACCTGGGAAGCTGCCATCATTTTCCTTGGCCATAAAAACTGATGGGGCAGTACCTTCACTCTTTTGTGCAGCATCTTCGTATACAATCTGAAGTTTAGCTAGCTCGTTCTGAGTTTCAGCAATCTCTTGCTTATCCTGCAGAACTTGTACACATTTCTGAACCTGCACCAAAGTAGGTTCTGTCATGAGTTATGCACTGAAGAACATTATTACAAGAGCTAACGGATTACAGTTACTGGAAGGAAAACTGGGTGTAAGGTAAGCTATTTAGCTTGATTGACTAGCACTACTAAAATATTTACATCATCAAGCTTTGCTTAAAATTTCCTCTGGTGCCTAACATGACCATAAAAAGAGGCAATTAGCAATAACTAACAGCCCTAAAACATGGATTAAGCAATCACATCAAGCCAGTTAAATAGCTGTTGCCTGTTGTGAACCTTATCACAACTTAACTTCTTGCAGTACTATCAGATATAACAGTACGTAGATTAACTACTGGCCAATCATGCTAAGAGAACCAAAAACACTATATAAGTGTGATATCTCAAGAGTAACTAATCAGTGTGTGATTAAGTAGATGATGTGCTACTCGCAGTTATAACTAGAGGGAATACCTATGTTCACTTTTATATGGACAAACTGTTGCCCAAGCGTTAGTCCAGCTCTATTAAATGCAGATGCAGGAAACAAAACCTAACCAGATGAAACTCAAAACTTAACCATGAAACTTTCACAGCTCAAGGCAAACATAATCCAGTGTTTAATGCATTTACTAGATGAGACCAGAAATTTACATACTACTCCAAGAAAGCGACATATTATAATTTGGCATTCAGAGTCCAATAATTGTGTGTCCCTGTGTCGGTGTAGAGCAAGACATACCTCTTTGACGTTCTTGTCAAGGCCACGGAAGTTAAGATTTGCTTCGCTGTGGTAATCCATTACATCGCTTCGCAGTTCTCCGATGGACCTTTCAAGCTTGTAGCAGTATAACTCCAACTGCGACAGCCTTCCACTGATGACATCCAGTGAATTCACCAGATTTTCTGCTTGTTTGTTCATGCAGCTCTCGATGGCTTCCGTTATAATTTCTTTGGAATGGTTTTCCTGGTCGCGCATGCTAACCAATGACCTCAGCAGCCTGTTGTCCTGAAAATCCTGCTTTGTTGAAGAACAGAAAAACAATTAGCAAGTAGTACGGGAATTTTATTTTAGCATAATAAAAGGGATAGGTAGGGTGAAAACAGAGGTTGTTGATGAAACTACAGCTAGTGTAAGAATCACTGGAGCTACTCTCATAGTTGCAGAGCAGACAAATAAGTCAATCTTGAGCTACTATTCCACTATCACAGAAATATTCATAATAAGGTAACCATGTGTGACAAGAAATTTTCCCATTAACAGGGATCAGAAGCAGCTTATCCCAGCGATGTGCATTGGATCTAGACAGCGAGGCAAGTGTATCAACAGTAATAAGGCCACAAACATAGTATTACAGTAATTGTACACAATCGGTTGACTAGAGAAGCGGAAGCAAGCAGCACCTAGAATGAATGAATGGTACAGTAAGTGTCACGACTTTTTTTCTTCAATTCAAACAGTTAGTTGGCAACAGGAACCATGGCACCCTAGCGAATGGTGCAGAAACAGCCGTATGTCGCACTGGGCTCGGGGAATAGACCAGAGAATCTCCGCGTCAAGCTATTTCGTTCGCCCAGATGGGTCGACAGGGTGGTGCAATTTAGAGTAGCATATTTGAAACTCCTAGAGGTAGAAATGGCAAGTGAGGTCCCAAATCCAGCACAAGGCGCGGAAGGCGTGCACCTGTCCGCCGTCGCCGCGGCGAACCGCGCCCCGGCGGGCGGCGGCCAGAGTAAACGGCCACCGGTCGTATCAGCCCGCCGCGCGCGCGCACACAGTACGCGGCGATATCCCGGGAACAACTAGGCGAAAGCAACAACGAGAAGCATGAACAAGGCACGGATCTGGCGCAGATGGATCGAGGGAGAAGGAGCTGACCTCTCGGCGGAGCGTGTGGTCGAAGGAGCAGCGGGCGAGGTCGGGGGCGAGGCCGAAGGGGCCGGAGACGGAGGCTGGCCGCGCCGGGGACGCCATCAGACGCGATCCGCTTCTCCGCGTATCTCCGGCTGAACTCCGAACGGAAGCGGCGGAGGCGAGGAGGATTTGGGAGGAGGCGTGGGCGGGGAGAGGAGAAGGAGTAAATAAAAGCTAAAGAAAAAAGGGAGAAAGGAGGAGGAGTAAAGCTAGGTCGGCGACTTGGTTGGCTCGCTCGCTCGTGGCCGGTGCCGGTGCGTGCCCCCTCCCCCCGCGGGTAGATATAGGCGGCGCGGTCAGCCCACCGCTTGGTTCTGGGGTGGTTCGGTTCGGTTCGGTACGGGGGGCGGCCGCGTGATGGATGGGCCGGCCGTCTCCGGTCAAAATCAGACGCCGACCTAGGAGCATCCACGATTGCTAGGACATTGCCATGCATTGCTACGGGCAGAAGCCCAAGCTGAATGCCCGTGCGTTGCCACAGAATAATAAAAATATAGACACATTGATTAAATTATTCTTTTAATAGAAAAATGCGTGTCAAGCATGGTGGCATCTGATTTTCATCATACAACGACAAATATAAACTCTTTTCCACTTCTTTCCTTCTTGACACTCTTCGTGTTATCTTAACCAGCAAAATCGCTCGCCGTCAAATAACTTATCACTGGATATATACCGCTCATGATTAAATAGTACTCGTATCACTCAACTTCATGCATCCATGCATGTCCCTGTTAGTACTAGGTACACAAAGCTTGACAGTTTTTTAGACTTTTAAAATGCCTCTTAATTTCAGCATAATAACGCAAGAAGACAGATCCAATTTGTGAGATTGTTCTTTATCAACAGCATGGCCGTTCCATTCTCCATAGCAACAACCAGCCTGAAAAAAACACTATAAATTGTTTATGTTCATCTCAAATATTAGGCCCAAGCTGTTAACTGCAACCATTTTTCAACCGACGACACATCTCCCTTGGTAAGTATATAGGGCACCAGGGCTTGTAATGCTCCCGACATCAGCTTGTACTTACAAACATTTCAAACAAATATGATAAAAAGTCTGCGGATAGGCACGACATTAACCAATAATGTCACAAAAATCAAGTACCTTTTGAAATCCAACTCAAAAAATAAAAATAGTATCGATAGTGGTAGTGGGCCAAATTTAAAGCCCAACTAATATTGTGAAATATCGGAGTCGAATTCATCTTTTTTTTCTCGATTTATCAATATGTTATCAATTTGACTTCAAATTTGTGTCACGAGTGATCCGTCTTGCGAAATATGGCCTATCTCATCTATGTCGTATATTTCTCAATATTTTTTAAGAATGCCAACCATATTTACCATATGTTTTTTCAAACATTTAAGGATGCCAACAAAAGGATTGTGTGCACCATATATTCTCCCTTTGGCCGGTCTCTCTCTCTAACAATTTTTCCTTGTTGGATTGCGCACTATTTGGATATTGTCAGTCACCCACGCTTCATCTCTCTTCTAAACAATGAAGCTACAACTTTGGCTAAGTACTCGCTGGCTCCTGCGAGTACCATCTAATTTGAAAAGCTCTTCCTCCCTAAATATTAATAAGGTTAGTCAGAAACAAGGAAGAACCAACAAACCATCGGTGCCACCTTCAATAATAAGCTGATTGTATATAGGAAAGGATCCATTTATATTGATTCAAGAGGGTTTTTTTACGATGCCATGAACCTGGTGCTAGTCGAAAACTCTAAAACTCGGGATACCCAATGCAACAAAAAATTGAATATATCCCCTTTTTTAGAGTGGAAGGTCAAGTATGCAACTCTCTTCGGTTCATATGTGTTTGTTACAATATGTGGTTCCTCAGAAGATCTCTCAATGTGCTTCTCAAACCTTGGTAAGTGCACTTGTAATAGCACTATGTACATGGCTGCATACAAAGTATGACTCTGGTTCACAATTTTTGTAGATATAAGAAAACCATGTGATATGTTATTTCAACAGATTGAGTAAATATTCTTTGGCAGCTACGTCCGATTGTAATAACAGAAGATACATCATGAAATAGGTAATTTATTATACCTTATTCTTGATGAACAGGAGTTATCCCGGAATAGTAGGAGAAACACAAGGACTATGTATTCTGTCAAGCCTCAGTTTAGGTATTTGTCAAAAGGATTTCACAAATTAAGAAACATGGCAATCATGTTTACCATTCACCTTATTTGCACATGTTAATACATTAAAATATATATTTGAGTTCAGTAAAGGGTAAAGGAAATGTCATACCCAAACAAAAGAATCATGCATGAATCGAATCCCAGCTGAATTCATGAGCACTAGTTGTAACCATTTCAAGATAATCATGTGGTCTTATTCCGGTTTAAAAAAATCAAGAACATTGCATACAATTGTCAAACATTTGGACCAGTTCCATACTTCCACTCAGGCCTTTGGCTTGTGTTTTGCATGAAATAGCTAGTACCCAATTTCCATGAATCAATCGTCAAGCAGAAGCAAACTTTACCAAGTATCTTCCTAAAAGGTGATAATCCATAGAAAAGTCGCCATCAATAAATAAAATAATAACAACATCTTCCAAAAAAATACAGTACTAACCTGACAACATAGTTAGTATACCAATCTATAGCAAGGAGGTGGACTGAAGGACCTCATCCATAATTATTTGTCCACTTTTAGGACCATCCAAGTGCTCCAACACCCACTGTACCTACTGAAAATAATAAAGTTGGTGAAACTGCGGAATAACATTAGTATATAACAATATACCATAACGTATCTGCATCACCCGACATATATATGGATGATTCGATAGCACCACAACTTGGACATTGAAGATTGAAAGAATTGTCTGGGTGGCGTTCTGTGGGATGCACTAAAAGCATTCCTGTAATACACATTGGATTAGACTAACTACTACTAGTTAAACAAAGTCTGTGTTATTTTCGGGGTGCCATGGCACCTATGGCACCCCCACTAGATCCACCTATGTAAACAGTGGGAATCCAATCTTTTGAGTGAGTCAACCTGAGATGTGCAAGTCACTTTTACTTTTTGGCGTTCAATTGTGCATTCTCTTAAGTTTGTATGGCCAAACTCTTTCGAAATTGGCTTTATTTTAACCTTTAAGGTTCAATATCAACGATATACCAATAAATTTATCTTAATTTATTAGTTTTCACTAACCCTAGATTCTTTCCCTTCATAAATTTTGTTACGTCTCTCGAGATGCAAATATATACCAAACCAAGAAAAATATGATGCACAAATTTCTCTGCATATCTATTGCAAGTGTTACTATTTTACCAGGTACAATGTGCGGACTGTGAATGAAACCCAAACACTAGACGAATTTGTTGTGAGTGTAGCTAAATGATGTATTTACATGACCAACTACAAAGTATGCAAGTGATGTCATCTACCTGTTGAACCGGGAAACATAAAAGACCTATTTTACAATAAAGAACCAATAAATGAACAACTTAACAATCTGAGGACAAATGCCTCATCCTTCTAGAATTGTGTGGTTACAATATTGTTAGCTATCCTCTATATTTACTTACACCTAAAAGAGACAAACATGCATTTTGCAAGTACACACAAAATGTATATACATTTCCAATTCATCAAAGTGGCACAATTTGTGGAGACTTTTGGTTTTGTTCCTTTTTTTCTTCTCTGGGATAGAACAATTCCATTTAACAAAAGATTTTTTAAGAGGATTGACTCCCAAATAAAATATTAATGCATAAGGTAAGAACTACCTCCGTCCTTGCTGGTTCGTCTCGTTTGTGCCAAATTTTGACCATAGATTTAACTAATAAAATATTAACGCATGTCACCAAAAATTATATCGTTGATTTCATATTTGAACATAGTTTCCAGTGATATATTTTTTTGAGACATGCATTAATATATTGTTAGTTAAATCTATAGTAAAATTTTGGCACAAAACACGAAGGGGACAATAAATCGGGACGGAGGTAGTAACTAACAGTGATACATATAATTGACGCCAAATTTGAGTAAGGGATCACACATGCATTTTATCGACTGGAATGAGAATACAATACAGTAAGAATTAAGTTCACGATGACGCGATGCAGTGGTGGTTACAGGAGGAAAGAAGAAAGTTGTATTCATCAACGAGCTCCTCCTCGGCTCAGTGCCTCAGGCCACCGACCCCCCGCTAACGAGCAGCGGCTTTTGTGGCGAGATCAATGTGCTTCTCAACAAAGACATTCAAGGCTTCCAGACAGTCGAAAAAGCCCAACGTCGTAACGTCCTCTCTAGCCATGCTTGTATACGTGAATGTGTAGGCCGATGGAATTTTGCTAGAAGAGACGTTGCACGGCGAGCGCGACCTCGAGGTGGACATTCTTCGTCGCGTCGGTGAGCAGTCGCAAAGCTACCAATGTGTAAAAAAAAGGTTGTCGCCATGAAGGCCGATGAGGATGGCAGGCAACGAGAAGCCAGTGTGCGGGTCGGAGGAGTACGGCGATGTTGTCAGTGAGTCTCTTGAGGACGGTCAACCTGTCGATGATGCCGACGATCATATTGCACAACATAGAGGCGAAGCTGGCGTCGGGTTCGCCGTCGTTTTTCCCGTGGCGGTGGACGGCACGACCTCCAGCGCCGCGCGCGGTCACCGGTGACAGGTTGCCGCGGGACGGCTACGGCTACGGATGGTGTGTGTGGTGCGAAGACTTTGACGTGGGGAAGGGACGGACGAATGCTGGCGGTGTCCGGCGAGGTAGCGTGCGTGCATTGCTTGTTTCTCATCGGGCAGGTCCACGGCGCATTGTCTCGGTCAAGTTTTGCCTTTTTAGGTGAACGAAAGTTTGGCCGTTTGACCGATCAAATTGATGATATCTGGGTCCGGTGTATTTTTTTTGAACATCAGTACAGACACAAGCATTCATATACATGCGCATACACTCACCCATATGAACGCACACACGCACACCCTACCCCTATGAGCACCTCCGAAAGACTGAGCCGGCATATCATCTTGAAATTTACGAAGTCGCCGTAGGCACCTCGTCGTCGACGGGAACGTCTCCTCCCACAGAATGCGCATCGCCGGAAATCCTGAAATAAATCCAGGAATAATGCGAGCACCAGGATTTGAACCCTGGTGGGTTGGGGATACCACTGTCCACCTAACCATCTCAACCACAGGTTGGTTCGCAGTCCGGTGTACTGTTATTATTATCAATTTTGCTAAGTCTCAGTAGACTAAGAAATCGATACTATTTTCCTTTGATTTTGTATGGAGATTCGTATAAAACAATTGTTTTTAATTGTTTTTTCTAATATATACTATATCACTTGATTGAGACTTGGTTAAGTCTCGACTGAGACATAGCCATACACTATTATTATTTGTACTCCAATATAGAGCAGACGTAGTGGTCGTGAGATATG